ACACAAGCCACCAAAGCAACAATAACAACAACAACAATTAGATTAGATACTGTAGTCTATAATCACAGAAAGAGGAAAGGAGGGAGAGAAGAAGAAAAAAGAATCTGTAGCCTAATAGTTACAAATTGGGCTGTGAACCACTAGGTCAGCAGTTCAAAACTACCAGCTGTTCCAAGGAAGAAAGATGAGACTTTCTGCTCCCATAAAGATTTAAAGCCTCAGAAGCCCTATATGGTGTAGCTATGAGTCGGAAATGACTCCACAGCACATAACAACAACAACAACAACAACAATATAAGTATGACTTTAATGTCATCTTTCAGCTTCTTGCCTTCAAGGCTGGCTGATAGAGTTCAAAATGCCACGCTGGTTGTTATGCTATACCTCAGGATTTAATTTAATTTTCACCCAGTTTTGTTTTTAAATTCTCTTCCCCTCTCCACACCCCTTGTTTTTGCCTTTTCCTTTTAAAAAACAAACAAACAAAAACACAGTTCCTGCAAGCTCTTGGGCTTACAGTATCTGTGCTGATGTGTGGCAAAAGAACCCACCAGTGGTGGGGGTGGGGTGTCCTCTCACTCAGGCAGCCCCTCTAACCATCAGAATGGAGGGGCGCAAACAGTGGGTGGCCAATGAACATATACCAAAAAAAAAGTTAAGAAAATCAGAACAAAACAAAACCGACAAAGAGTATTGTCCATCTTTGCTCTGAGGCTCCTGCCACGTTATTCCGTCGTGGGTGTGCTCCCCTACTTGGTCTTGCCATTTGGTCTCACCCAAGTTGTCAGCTCCTTGCCCCTGAGCGTGCAGATTCCAAAGTACGTGATTTCCCACCTCCACTACAAGTTCCACCAGCTACAAGCATTCAAACCCTCCAAATATTCCTAGATATGTTGCCCAGCTCTGGTAGCGTAGTGGTTACGAATCGGGCTGCAAACCTTAAGGTCAGCGGTTCGAAGCTACCAGCTGCTTCGCGGGAGAAAGATGAGGCTTTCTACTCCCGTAAAGATTTACACCCTCGGAAACCCTGTACAGGGTCGCTATGGTTCGGAACCGACTCGACGGCACTTAACAACAACAATGTTGCCCAGAGTTCCTGAGCTCCACCCTGAACCCGCCTCATCTGGCACGTCGTGGTATTGCCAACAACAAACTTCACTACACCTCTCTACCCTATCCGCCATCAAACCCCACCTCTTATCAATACATCTTAATTGCATGTTTAATCTATTCTGGGAAGAAGTTGGCTGTTGTTGCTGACTGCTAGTGATTTGGTTCAGACTTATAGTGACCCTCTATGGGATATGCCGAGTAGCAATGATGAGTTTGAACTGTTAACCTGGTGGTTTTCAGGCCAGTGCTTATCCTACCACACCACAACAAGAATCCAGAATTTTTAAGTTTCATTATCACTGACCTTGATGGTCAATATCTTTCTTTCCATTGCAGATCACTAATGCTTAGGCTACTGATTTTTTTATGAGTTCCATTTCATTTTTGACAAGTCCCTATTTTCCTAGATTCAAATTTTTTGTATTCATTCTTCTGATTATTAACAGATATTTTAAATGATATTATTTCTTCTCATTTGTGTTTCATCAGCAGATGAAGGTCCTGAAAGCTTTACTGCATTCATAGCATCACAGTCATCTCTGCTTAAAAGCAGCTGCTCTTCCCCAGTTGTATTTTGAGTGTCTTCCAATCTGTGGTGCCCATCTTGTGATATCATATCTCACAATATTCTTGTTCATGTTTTCATTTTCTGCCACTAGGTCTGACAATGTTCTGCTACTGTTCATAGGTTTTCAGTGGCTAAATAGTCAGAAGTAATCCACCTTTCCTTCCTAGTGTCTTAGTCCAGAAGTTCACCTGAAATCTATCCACCATGGATGACCCTGCTGGTATTTAAAATATCATTTGCATAGCTCCAGCATCAGAGCACCAGGCAAGGCACCACGTATAACAAACTCACAGACTAGTGGTGGAGGAGCAAACTTAGGGCCCCAAACACTTATCAAACATAACTAAAACTGAGACCTCCTGAAAATTAAACACTTACTTGGATGAAAGTGTTGACCAAAAAAATAAAAAAGAGAACTCATGGACTGGAAAAACATTTGGCAATAACATATCGGACAAAAGACTAATCTCTAAATGAATAGAAAATGTCAACACCTCAACAATAAAAACACAATCAGTCCAATTTAAAAAATAGATAGAAGACATGAATAAAACCATGACCAAAAATACATTCAAGTGGCCAAAACATGAAGAAATACTGGTGATTGCTAGTCATTGGTGGTGGTGGTGGTGTGTCATGGAGTTGGTTCCGACTCACAGAGACCCTGCATAGGGTTTCTGAGGCTGTAAATCTTTACAGGAGCAGAAAGCCTTGTCTTTCTTCTGCAGAACAGCTGGTAGTTTCAAACTGCTGACCTTGAGGTTCACAGCCCAACTCGTAACCACTATCCTAGTCATTAGAGAGATGCAAATCAAAATAGAAATGAGATATCATCTTACTCAGCATTAATAACAAAGTTCAAACAGAAAATATCAAGTCCCACAATGTGTGGAGAGACTGGAACACTCGTATATTGCTGGTAGAACTGTAAAATGGTACAACTACTGTCAAAAATGGTATAGCACTGCAATAAAAAATTAGAATTTGAAATATCATATGATTCAGAAATTCCATTACTACATACATATGCTAGAGAAAAAAACAGCCATGATATAAATAGATATATGCACACCCACATTCATTACAGGATTGTTTACAATAGCAAAAAGATGAAAGCATCCTAATTGCCCATCAACAAAAGAATAGATAAACAAACTATGATACATACATGCAATGTGATATTATGTAACATTAAAGTATAAAAGTGGATCTGCTTGAAACTCGAAGGGAACACACAATCAGGCATGTAAGTTAACTGGTGACTATTTTGGTCTACATTTGAGTGGAAATAAAAGAAACAAGGAAAACACAATCCTGACACAAACAACACATATATTAGAAGTATCAGACAGGATATTTAATCTGTACAGGGTTGCTATGAGTTGGAACCAACTCCATGGCACATAACCACCACTACTGATATGTTAAAATTATAATGGAAAAAATGGACACTATGAAAGAACAGACGGGAAATTATCAGTGAGTGGGGTACTATAAGAAAGACTCAAATGGAATTTCTAGAAATGAAAAACACAGTAGCAGAGATGAATAACATCTTCTGCAGTTTTAACAGTAGACACAACATAGCTGAGTTAAGAATCAGTAAATTTGGCACATCAACATAACTATACAAACTGAAAGACAAAATGAAAAGAGAATAAAAGTATATAAAAATATCAGAACAGAGAATACAAAAGTTGTAGGGAAACAGGCTGACATACATATGCAATTGGAATCACAGATTCCAAAGATAAAAAGTAGAGAATGAAACAGAAAAATATTTCAAGAAAATAATAGCAAGAATTTTATAAAATTAATCAGAGACATACCCTAAATCCAATAAGCTCAAGGAAAACCAAGCAGTGAAAATATCCAAGCACATGTTCCAAATATTCACCCAGTTATACCAAAATTACAATAAGATAGAAAAAATCAAAGATAAAAGGAAAATTAAAGTAGTCAGAAAAAACAGATTACAGAAGAATAAATTCAATTTATAATGACTCTGCTTTAGAAATTCTACTAGTCAGGAAACAATGAAACTCAATCATTAAAGTGCTAAAATGAGAACAATCAAGCCAGAATTATAAACTCAGTAAAAAAAATATATTCAATTATTAAGAATTAATAAGTAATAATAAAGGTTTTATGAAACAAGCAAAAACTGAAAGAACAAAATGCTAAATGATAAAAAAGACTGAACTTAATGGTCAGAGAGAAGCTGGAGGAACCTGAGACTGTTCTTCACTCATCCTTCAGGTCTGAAAGTTAATTCATCCTCACGGCTGAATTTACAGCCAAGCTACAGGTAGATACATTATATGACAACAACACTAGTAAGGTAAGCTCACCATGGAATGTTCACCTATCAAGAAAACATGGCAGCATTTACCTAAAGTCACAATACAGAAAAGTTGGGTTAGGATTAGGGTAGAATGGAAACAAGAATCACAGGAAGGAAGTGGGATAACTCATGTTACATTGTGGGGATTGTGATCATTGAAATGAAATGGAATGTGCTTTTGGTGAATGCAAAATTTACGTTGTTTAAAACTTAACTCAATTAACAATGGTTGTGATGGTGGTTATGTGCCGTGGAGTTGAAAAAGATAAAAAAAAATTAACCCAAAATTGCTGAAGATGAATATCAGAAGAGGAATACTTCAGAACAAAGAACACTTAAGGAAAAAGAAAACATGACATCATGATAAAGGGATCAGTTTCTCAAGAAGAAATCACAACCCTACCTGTTTATACCTATCAACAAAACTTCAAAATAATCGAAGCACAACTTATAGAATCAAAATAAACATATCGGCAATTATATTTGAATATTTACACACTGCACCGCCATAAAGATGAAAAGACCTGAATGACACTATAAATCAACATGACCAAATTGGCAATTATAGATAATTTTGTTCAATAACAGCAGAATGCTGTCTCTGTTATCTCTTCACTGACTCCTCAGACTGGCACCATTTTCCCCTTTTCCAATGTTTTTGTAAAATCTCCACATATTATGATAGTTGCTAAGTGAATATTAACTTAATTTGATCTCTAAATCTTGGGTATCTACAAACTTTTATATTACATTCATAATTCTTGTTGTTGTTAAGTGCCGTTGAGCAACTCTGTACATGGTTTCTGAGGAGTGACTGGTGAGTTTGAACCACTAACCTTACAGTTCAAAGAGACCTTGTGGTCCAGTTCATTGTGCTACAAGGCCACACCAGGACTCTATAATCAAAAATGATTCTTATTTTAAAGAAAATTAACATGATGAGCTATAGAATCAATAGTTCATCTTCAGACAGACCTGAACAATGCCAACCGAATGATAAGGTGAGCACATTGTAGACATGAAAGCAAGGCCCACAGTTGTTCCAGAAAGCTCTGTTGACCTGTAATAAAGAAATAATTGATATAACAGCTTATGATTCTAAGCTATAATTTCTATGGACAATTCTTCCAGGACTCAATGATTTGCAGAGAAACTCATAGTAGGAACACTCACTCTTAAATTTTTTCTTCAGTTTTTGAATTTGCATGAGGCAGTTTTCTATAGAATTGCTCTCTTACCATCTGAAATACTAGGTGTACTTGCTTTTAATGTTTTATATATCTCACTAATTATTATATTTTTAATTGTTAAATTCATCTCTTATTAAGAAAAAAAATCCTAGTAAGTTTTTTCTTCACCTTATTTTTTATACTAGTATTGATACATATACTTTTCACTCATTTGTATATTGTTGTGGTTGCTAGGTGCCATCAAGTTGGTGCCAACTCATAGCGACCTATACACAGCAGAACAAAGCATTGCCCAAACCTGGACCAACCTCACTATCATTGCCATGCGTGAGCCCATTGATGCTGCCACTTTGTCAATCCATGTCACTGGGGGATCTTCCTCTTTTTCTCTGACCCTCCACCTTACAAAACATGAGAACCTTCTCCAGTGACTGCTCCCTTCTGACAATATTCCAACATAGATCTGTTGGTTCTTTTGGCAGCCCATGACACTTTCAATATTCTCCTTCAACACCATAACTCAAAAGCATCAATTCTTCTACAGTCTTCCTTATTCACTGTCCAGCTTTCACATGCATATGAGATTATTGAAAATATCATGACTTGGGTCAGGCGCACCTTAGTCTTCAAGCTGACATATTTCCTCTTCAACACTTTAAAAAGGTCTTGTGCAACAGATTTGCTTAATGCACACATCGTTTGATCTCTTGACTGCTGCTTCCATGAGTGTTGATAGTTGATCCAAGAAGAATGAAGTCCTTGACAACTTCAATTTTTACACCGTTGATAAGAATGTTGTTTATTGGTCCAGTGGTGAAGATTTTTGTTTTCTTTACATTGAGATGCAATTCATATAGATCTTATTGATTTCTACATCCATATACTTTTGTTTTCATTTGTATTGTTTTTGATGCAGTAATATTTGGGATTTGTATTCATTCTGAAAATATTTTTGTTATTAAAGATGTATGAGGTTGAGGACTATCAGGAAACATGATTACAGAAAACTTTTGTAAGCCTGTCTTCAGCCTATAACTAACCGATTAGAATACTTAAAAGGGGTTCTACAATTTGCCCATTGAAATATGCCTCTTGTGGAGCCTTTGCAGTGTATAGGACTCGGGTTGAATCCTAAGCCCCATCCAGAAGCTTCTGAGGTGGGACGTTCCCAATAGAAAGAACAAACAGACAGCCTGGAACAGCTAGAGCAACAAAAGACACATTTTCAAAGAATCATCAGCAGGAACCCCCCACCCTCCCACCCCCCAAAAAAATGTAAGTATGATTAGCTACTACAAGAATAAGCAAGTTGTTCACTTGGAAACCATCAAGGCAAGCAATCAAGTCCAAACCCTCATTCTAAAACTGAATTCAGGACAAACCCTCCTCTAAAACTGAAACTCAAAGGGAACACATGAGCAGTCATGTAAGCTTGCCAGCGACCACATTGGTTTACTGGTGAGTGCAAGAGAGGGAAAGGCAGCAATGAAGAAAATGGGCTGAGTTCAACCACATCCCATAGACTACTGTTTGACCTGGAGATGAGAGAGAAAAGAGGAAGGGCTGGTTGTTCCAAAATGTGGCGAGACCTGGGGACAACAAAGCCCATGGACAAGGACATAGCCACAGAGGGCTAGAGCTGAGAGTGAAACATCCAGCTGATATTAAGTGAGGGGAGATGCACAAGAACACCCAAACTTGCAGCTAGTACCCATTTGACCTAGCCTCAATGGCTTGATAATCAGAACTCAACTAGAGGAAGATTAAAAAAATAAAAATTAATGAAGGAAACAAGGGTAAATTGCTACAATATGATGAACTTGACCTATAGTCATGGATGTAATAGCTCAAAATACCAACAGAGATGGAAGGAGTCTTCACATCAAGTATTAATGCTATCCCCTCTGTATACAAGGTAGATTTTTGTTGTTGTTGTTGCCAAGTGCTGTCGAGTTTATTCCGACCCATAGTGACCGTGTATAGGGTTTCCAAGGAACAGCTTGTGAGTCCGAACAGCCGACTTTGCAGTTCAAATGACTTTGCAATTTGATGCATTAACCCACAGCGCCACACCAGGACATACAGGGATGGACAATTTAGACATTGGTTGTGGTGTGGTGCTATGGGTTAATGAGTCAGACTGCAAAGCCATTTGAACTACAAGGTCGGCACTTCAAGCTCATAAGCTGCTGCTCCTTGGAAACCCTATACAGGGTCGCTATGGGTCGGAACCAACTTGATGGCACTTCACAACAACCTAAAATGAGGGGGCGATAAAGGCATGAAGTGACTGGCTTACAAGGTTTCAAGAGGGAATTTAGTTTAAGAGTGTGTGGGGGAAGATAGAGTTCCCACTGAATAGTTTTCATCTTGTCTAAATGGGTCTGGTGAAGAGATGAGGATAAGATTCTTATGATTCAATAGTGAGTAATTGTTATCATGACTAATGGTGACTCTCACAATTGTAAAGGTAGAAGTTTTGTAACAAAAATGGGGGAGTAGTTAATTTTATAGTCCAGAAACAGAGGACCCTAGGACCATCAAGGGAAAAGAGCACAAGCAGAATGTGCTTCCAGAGAAGCAGTGACACCAGAAATGGAAGCATGGAGACAGGGAGCAGCTGAGGACTCTAGATTCATGCAGAGAGAGACTGAGAGCTGGCAGCCAGGAGGCAGACTTGCAGAATGTGCCCTTTGGTGGTTTAAATTATTATATATGCCTGAGTGTTTAAAAAAAAAGCTAAAATGAATAGAGAAAAAGCATCAATTCTTCTATGGTCTTCTTTACTCACTGCCCAGCTTTTGCATAAATATGAGGTTATTGAAAATACCAAGGTTTGGGTCAGGCACACCTTAGTCCTCAAGCTGACATCTTTGCTCTTCAACACTTTAAAATGGTTTTGTGCAGCAGATTTGCCTAATGGAATACGTCATTTGATTTCTTCACTGCTGCTTCTGTGAGTGTTGACAGCTGATCCAAGAAGAATGAAGTCCTTGACAACTTCAATCTTTTATCCATTGATAAGAACATTGTTTATTGTTCCAGTGGTGAGGATTTTCCTTTTCTTTACATTGAGATGTAATCCATTAGGAAGGCTGTGCTCTTTGATCTTCATCAGTTAATGTTTTAAGTACTCTTCACTTTCAGCAATCTAGGTTGTATCATCTGCATATTGCAGGTTGCTAATCGGTCTTCCTCCAATCCTGATGCCATGTTTTTCTTCATAAAACCCAGATTCTCAGATGATTTGCTCAGCATACAGGTTGAATAAGTATGGTGAAAAAATACAACCTTACCACACACTTTTCTTTACTTTAAAACATTCAGTGTTCCCATGTTCTGTTCGAACAACTGCCTCTTGGTCCAGGTACAGATTCCTTGGTCCAGGTACAGAGCGCAATTAAGTGTTCTGGAGTACTCATACTTCACAATGTTGTCCATAGCTTGTCATGATCCACACAATCAAAAACCTTTGCATAGTCAATAAAGCACAGGTAAACATCTTTCTGATAATCTCTGATTTCAGCCAAGACCCATCGGACATCAGCAATGATATCCCTCGTTCCATGGCCTCTTCTGATTCCAACTTGAACCTCTGGAAGTTCTCTGTCAATGTATGCTTGCAGTCACTTCTGTACTACTTTTAGTAAAACTTTACTTGCATGGGATATCAAAGAGATTGTCCAATGATTTCTGCATTCTATTGGGCCACCTCTCTTTGGAATGGGCACAAATATGCATCTCTTCCAATCAGTTGGCCAGACAGTTGTCTTCCAAATTTTTTGGCAGAGATAAGTGAGTGCCTCCTCACTTTCTTGAAAGATTTCAATTTTTATTCCATCAATTCCTGGTGCCTTGTTCATTGCCAATTCCTTCAATGCACCTTCAACATCCTCCTTCAGTATCATTGGCTCTTGATCATATGCTACCACTTGAAACGGTTGAACATTAACCATTTCGTTTTCATACAGTGACTCTGTGTATTCCTTCCATCTTCTCTTGATGCTTTCTGCATCATTCAATAATTTGCCAAGAGAATATTTCGATAATGAAAGTCAAGACGTGAATTTTTTCTTCAGTTTCCCCAGCTTGAGAAATGCTGAGTGTGTTCTTCCTCTCTGGTTTTCTGATTCCAGATATTTGCACATTTTGTTTTAATATTTGGCTTTATCTTCTCGAGCTGATCTTTGAAGTTTTCTGTTAAGTTCGTGCATCTTCTCATTTCTTCCATTTGCTTTAGCATCTCTGTGCTGGAGATTTTCAGTGTCTCTTCTGCGATTCATTTTGCCCTTTTCTTTCTTTCTTGTCTTCTCAGTGGCTTTTTCCTTTCTTCGTGTATAATGTTCTTGATGTCATCCCACAACTCATCTGGTCTTCAGTATTTAGTGCTTAATGTATCAAATCTGTCCTTCAGATGATCTCTAAATTCAGGTGGGATATATTCAAAGTCATATTTTGGCTCTCATGGATTTGCTATCATATTCTTCAGCTTTAGTTTGAATTTTCATATGGGTAATTGATGGTCTGTTCCACAGTCTGCCCCTGGTTTGTTTTCACTGATGATATGGAGCTTTTCCATCATCTGTTTCTGCAGATGTAGTCAATTTGATTTGTATGTATTCCATCTGGTGAGGTCCATGTACATAGTTGTCTCTTATGCTGCCTAAAGAAGGTATTTGAAATGAACAAATCGTTGGTTTTGCAGAATTCTAGCATGCATTCTTCAGCATCATTTCTATCACCAAGGCCATATTTTCGAACTACTGATCCTTCCTCTTTGCTCCCAACGTTTGAATTCCAATCATCAATAATAATCAATACATCTTGATTGTATGTTTGATCAATTTCAGATTGAAGAAATTGGTAGAATTCTTCTATTTCATCCTCACTGGCTTTAGTACTTGGTACGTTAATTTGAATAATAGTGGTATGAACTGGGCTTCCCTGTAGGTGCATGGATATTATCCTATCACAGACAGCATTGTACCTCATGACTGATCTGGATATGTTCTTTTGACAATGAATGCAACACAATTCCTCTTCAATTTGTCACTCCCGGCATAGTAAATCATGTGGTCATCAGATTCAAAATGGCTAATACCAGTCCATTTCAGCTCACTAATGCCTAAGATATTGATGTTTATGTGTTCCGTTTCATTTTTGACAACTTCCAATTCTCCCAGGTTCATACTTCATGCATTTCATGTTCTGATTTTCAATGGATGTTTACAGCTTTTTCACTTCATTTTGAGTTGTGCCCCATCAGCAAATGAAGGTCTCGTGAGCTTTTGTCCCACGGACTTTACTCCATTCGTATCACCACGGTCAACTCTACTTTAAGGAGGCAGCTCTTCCCCAGTTGCATTTTGAGTGACTTCCAACCTGAGGGGCTCGTTTTCTGGCACTATATCTGACAGTGTTTCTCTGTTATGCATAAGGTTTTCAGTGACTAAATATTCAGAAGTAGTTTGTCACTCTTTCTTCCTAGTCTGTCTTTGTCTGGAAGCTCATCTGAAACCTGTCCACCATGGATGACCCTGCTGGTATTTAAAATACCAGTGGCATAGTTTTCAGAATCACAGCAAATCACAAGCCACCACAGTATGACAAACTGGCAGACGTGTGGTGGAAGGTTGTTGCTATTGTTGTAAAGTGCCGTCAAATCTATTCCGACCCATAGCGACCCTGTAAGGGTTTCCAAGGAGCAGCTGGTGAGCTTGAACCGCCAACCTTGTAGTTCAAATGGCTTTGCAGTCTGATGCATTAACCCACAGGGTCACAGCAGGAGTCCGATGGGAGGTTGTACTTCTTACAAAATGGCTCGAGTATTTTGGTATATGTTGAAGCTAGAAAATAGCTTTCCAAATTAAGCAATATGGAAGCTATTCTCCAAAGGTGACCTCCAAAGAGCCTGACTTGCTGAAATCACATTCTGTGTTACCTCCTCTGTGAATCTTGGTTGGTCTTATAAATAACTCTTAACCAACAGAATTTACCGGTAGAGGTATTGGTGACTTCTGAGTTTAGGTCATAAGATCTTTGAAGATTCTTCTGAGTCTCTTTTAATGTTTATTTTGGGAGAAGTTAATTAATTATTATATGATATAGTTTACTACAACTCCTGGTGTGGCACTGTAGAATCAGCACAAGACTGCAAATCACAAGGCCAGCAGTTCAAATTCACCAGCTGCTCCTCAGAAACCCTATACAGTATTGCTATGAGTTGGAACCAACTCTACAGTACTTAACAACAACATAGTTTACTTATTTCCTAAGACATCCACGGTTTTCATAGGTAGAGGAACTTTCTAGT